GTGGGGGGGGGGAGAGTTTTTAGCTAAAATAAATATTTGAGTTATATATTGCTTTGCTCCCTTTACAATATATAAAAATCAAAATCTTTTTTCCTTTACCATTTAATTTTAACAAAATAGACATGAATAGACCTGTTTATGGGTCATTTGGGCTTTAGCTTTTTTTGTCAAATTTGAATTGAATCGACCCAAAGCCCAAGTTCAAAACAGTGTAAATCTGAACCTGAAGCCCCGGCCTTTGAACAAATCTACATATGAGGAGCAGTAAACAAAACTTTTACTACAAAACGGGTGGGAATAATAGAGAAAATATTTCAGATTTGAAAAACTTATTTACATCTATTAATTTATGTTGAAATAAGTGCAGCCAAAGCAATATTAAAAAAAAAAAGCAACTGAATAATAAAATAAGGTAAGCAGAAAAAGATGTTAAGAGGGTTTATCAATAAGTTGCAACCTATCATTCCATACCTACAGGAACGGCCAATGGCGGAGATGGTTGGCAATTACAGTTTTATTAGTAAAATAGCACATGGGTGGCAATCTTGTAATTCAATCGCAAACAAAGGGTGTATCGGTATATCACATGGCATTGTAAATAACACAAAAAACATGGCAATTTACATGCTTTATGACCCTTTTGTCTTGAAGGAAAGGAAATGATGAATCAAAAAAAGTGAAGGACACTTGTATATCTGCAACTGGTTTAATTACTTGTATGTTAGCCATAATAATAATAATAAATAATAATCCATCTCTCAAATCATCCAACCACTACGACCAAACCCCTCCTAAATATCATTTAAAATAATAATTAAGAAATAAGTTGTCGTCTTTCCAAAGGAGAAGCTTAATTTACACGTAGATTTATATATATAGCTCCTTGTAGGGGCACTGGCAGCTTGCTAAGGCGTTTAATTGAAGAACTTGTGGTCTTCAAGATGATGAAGGCCGCTTCTTTAAAAGCTTTAGTCATAAGAATCAACCTGGTTTTCCTTGCTTTCTTTTTGCTCATTTATGTCACCCTTCTTCTCAGGCCATCTCCTTCAGGCTATCATGAGAGTCCGGCATTGGTGGCTGGATGCTCCTTGCGCGAGTGCCATCACAAGAAGGTAAGGTGAGTAACTTTGGGAGTCTAGCTAGATGAAGAGAGACAGAGAGAGATACACACTTTTTAATTAATTCTTCATTGAAATATATCCATTAGTGATCGATATTCACTTGTTTCTTTGTAGGATGATGAGGCTGTCAAGATGAAGGCAGTCTTAGAGGAGACCATTTTGCAGCAGAAGATGAAGCTGGTGAGAAGACAGAGGCCTAGTTTCTTCAGTGAACTAGGGAGAGGGATGAAGATTGGATTGGTGAATATGGAAGACGAGGATACAAGTGACTGGGAATCCATTGGGAAGACTACGCCCATCAGCTTCGAACGGGTGTCTCGGTACTTTGAGTGGAAGGATTTGTTCCCGGAGTGGATTGACGAAGAGGAAGATAACGATGGTCCATCGTGTCCGGAGATACCCATGCCGGATTTCATGGCTTTTGCTGAGATGGACATGGTGGTTGCCAAATTGCCGTGCCGGTACCCGGAGCAAGGTTGGGCCAGAGATGTTTTCCGTCTTCAGGTTCATCTAATAGCAGCTAACTTAGCTGCAAAGAAAGGTAAGAGAGATGGCGGAATGCGAACGAAAGTGGTATTCTTGAGCTCATGTAGGCCGATGATGGAGCTGTTTCGATGCGATGATCTGGTGAAGCAGGAGGGTGAGTGGTGGTGGTACGAGCCGGAGACGGGGAGGCTTGAACAGAAGGTCTCCATGCCTGTTGGTTCCTGTAAATTGGCTTTGCCCTTATGGGGAGAAGGTATTATCTCTACACTATCTATCAAATCAAATACGAAATATTGAACTATCTGCAAAAGATCAAGAATTTAGAAAAACAAAAAAAAAAAACAAAACAAAAAAGAACGCGCCAGATAGGGATCGAACCTACGACATTCTGCTTAGGAAACAGACGCTCTATCCACTGAGCTACAGGCGCTTTTTTATTTGTAAGATTTAAATCTGAAATATAATATGACTTGTTATTGCACAGGCGTAAATGTTAATGAGGTATACAATGTCTCTGAGATCACAACGAAGACCAATGCGAGTGTGAAAAGAGAAGCATATGTGACTGTTCTCCACTCCTCTGAAGCCTATGTGTGTGGTGCCATAACCCTTGCACAGAGTATCATCCGAACAGGCACCAAGCGCGACCTTGTCATATTGCTGGACAAGTCCATTTCCCAACCTATGAGAGACGCCCTTGAAGCAGCTGGATGGAAGATCCGGTTGATCAAGCGAATTCGAAACCCAAGAGCTGAGAAGAACTCGTACAACGAGTACAACTATAGTAAGTTTCGACTATGGCAGCTCACGGATTATGACAAAATCATCTTCATCGACTCAGACATTGTGGTGCTACGTAACCTGGACCTAGTGTTCCATTTCCCGGAGATGTCTGCGACGGGCAACGATGGGTCTATCTTCAATTCCGGCATCATGGCCATTGAGCCGTCCAAGTGCACCTTTCGACTGTTGATGGAGCAACGAAAGGAGATAGTGTCCTACAATGGAGGTGACCAAGGTTTCCTTAACGAGGTGTTTGTGTGGTGGCATCGGTTGCCAAGAAGAGTAAATTTCCTGAAGAATTTCTGGGCTAATACAACGGCCGAGGCAAGCATGAAGAACCAACTATTTGGCGCAGACCCCCCCAAGGTCTATGCCATTCATTTCCTTGGGCTAAAGCCCTGGCACTGTTATAGGGACTACGATTGCAACTGGAACATCGGTGACCAGCGAGTCTACGCCAGCGATATTGCGCACGCCAGGTGGTGGAAGATCCATGACGCCATGGACGAGAGCTTGCAGCACTTTTGCAGGCTCACACCGCAGCGAAAGATTGAATTGGACTGGGATAGTAAGATGGCTGGAAAGATGGACTTACCAGATGGGCATTGGAGGATCAACATTTCGGATCCCAGACGGCACATGCTCTTATATAATTAATCAATAACACTTGGTTTAATTGGTTCTATTAATTCCCTCTCTCTCTCTCTCTCTCTCTTTTTTTTTATATTTACATTGATCAGATGGATAGAGACATTTAAATTATGTGTGAATAGTGAATACAGATTACAGAGAATTGAAGAGAACAGATCGAGGACACTCCACCTCATTACTTGTATCCATAATTGCACATTGTTGTTCCAAACATTAAAAAATTCTTTTGATGGGGGCACAAGACTTGGTAGATCATTCATTGAGTAATTAATATTTCCATTGATATATATCAAATGTTTGGGAAACTCCAGCTGAGGGTTTACCGGGTGTGTCTGTTTCTTTAGTCAGGTATCTGGGTTGGGGCCATGAGCACACAATCTCAATCCCTATCCCAACGAAACTTAAACCGGGTCAGCCAACCCTGGACCCGAAAAATCTGGCTAGGTAACATATCATATCCTAGTTTTATTCTTCTCTCTAAGCTACCTTCTCAAATGAAGTGATTGCGAAGGGTCTGGCCGCTGTATGATGAATCAGATAGGAAATAGGAACCCAGCCCAAGCCCAATTTAAAGTTGAAACAACCCCCAAACTGAGGGGAAAAAAAGAAAATATCGAGTAGGTTGGCAAGTCGGAGTCAAGAAATGACACCACCGATGTGGATGGCAGTTGGATCTACAAAAACTAGTGACTTAATTAAAAGCAAGTAGTAGGATTTTAAAAAAAGCGAGGAAGGTAAACGACTGTTTAAGAAATCCCAATAGAAATAGAGAATTAGGTGCACCAACCCTCATTATGTGACACATCTTCTTCTTGCTCAGTGACCCACACATCCCCACTCCCAAAATTCTTTTACTTATTGTCATGTGATTATGTGAATCAATAAACGATCAAATTACGATCGTTCAAAAATTCTTTCAAGGAACAGTTGGGTGGGAAAGAGAGGAATATGATGAAATTTAGTTATAAGAATCAATACTGCGCTGAGTTCTTGGTTAAATCTTGTATTTTAATCATGGTTTTTAAAATTGGATTGGATTGGACGGTCAGACCGGAAAAACCGGGAACCGGTTAGGTGATCAGTTTTGTTTTTCCCAAAACTAGAAATTTGTCCAAAACTGTTGATTTTGATCAGTAAACCACTGACCCGGACGGTTAACTATTTGAACAGTTTTAACTGTTTTTTATTTTTTTAATTTTTCTTTTTTTTTTTGTCAAAATGGGCCGATCATTCAATTCGAATGATCGGACTGTTCGACCCGATAACCGGACCCCTGATCAGTTCGGTCTTCAGGTCGTTTTTAAAAACCATGATTTTAAGGCTCCCCACTTGTTAAATCTACCAGTAGTTGGGTTGTCAAGCAGGTAAGTAACGACATGAAATGTGACGAGTCTTCAAATTGACAAAGGAATTTCGTGTCTGGGGCTATAATTCTCCAAGTCAGGCCCAACGCCCAAAATGATGAGTATAATAGTTTGGATCCTAACAGCGTTTTCAATCCAACGTTAAATCGGACGATCAAACCGTTCCAACTGTTATCTTTCACATTTTCGGGTCCAGTTTTCCTAAAGTTTGGGGTTTGATCAAATATTATTGATTTGATTAAAATCCATTCAACCCAAACGGTTGAACTGATGACCCATTCGATCCAGACAAACCCCTAGAAGAATGGGCAGGCTACCGCTTGCAACCATGGCACCTTCCCGCTACACACAAGAGCTTCTGAAAATCTACTTAGATCGTCTTTCAAATGCAATATGGCTAAACCCCTAAACCGTGCTGTTTACTTTTTAGGGATGTTTTCAAACTATTCTTGACTGGGTTGTTGTACTAGTGATTAATGGATGAGGAGGTGGGTGGCTTTGATTGATTTTCGGGTCAATTTTTAAGGATCTGTTTGGGAGGGCTAAAGTTTTGGAGAATCTAGTAAGGGTCTATTTGGTTTGCGGTTAGAATTGGAATTGGAATCGGAATTGAAATTACTTTCTTTAGAATTGGAATCAGAATGGTCTATTCCTTGATTTCAGATAGAAATTGGAATGGAAATTGGAATTAGCAGAAATGGGATTTCATTAGGGATGTAAGCGGATCGGATCAGATTCGAATCAGGTATATTCGAATTGATTCGAATCCGATCAGACACTGTTCATGTTGGATCCGATCCAATCCAAAGATCCAATTGGATCTGATAGGATTCGATTTGAATTCGAATCCTATCAGTAAATTGGACTTGATCCGATCTGACTTGTTTTCTTTAAAAATTAATAAAATATTAAAAGAAAAATAAATTATACTAATTTAAATAAAGTAAAACAACAAATACAAGTATTTTTAATTATTTTCATCATATATATACATGTTTTTATAAAAAATAAATAATATAACAAATTTATAAAAATATAATATAAAAAATATATTTATAAATAAATAAATAACATATATAAATATATAATACATATTGGATCGGATCTTCTCGGATTGAATAGGGGGTGATATGAATCCAATCCGACTTTTAATTGGATCTTATTATCTGTTCCGATCTGATTTGAAGATTCAAATAAGGGTGATTAGAATTCAACCAAATAGGATTCGAAGATTCAAACAGAGGTAGAGGAAATGACCATTCCCTCAAATGGAAAAATGTTATTCCACCAGAAATGTAAATGTGTCGGATTCCAATTCTATCCAACCAAACAATTGAAATTGGAATAACCTATTCTGATTCCAACTCCAAATCCCTATTCGAACAAACCAAATGGGGCCTAGATAGGTGTTCCACAAGATGATTTGTTTTGTTTTAAATTTGTTTGATGCTTTTATTTTTAGAAATTGAACGAACAATATTATTGAATATCCCCTTAAATTAAGCTTCAAGCCTTCAACTTAGGTCATATTTTGGCTTTCGTTTTTTTCTTTGTTTTTTTTTTTTGAAAAGAATATATTTGGATGTAAGATGGTCATATTGAACTTTGGAGATTTTCACCAAGCATATACGCTGTTTGGGTCATCAGATAGAGCCTACCTATCAAAGCTAGCAGATGACACGTGAAAGCCCTCTTAAATGGGCTAAAACTATATTTCTTCTGACAGAAACAAAATTAAAGGGCTAAAACATGTGACTTCCAATTGGTTCAAGCTAACAAAATAGAAGGCTTCAAAGTAAAACCTCGTGAATTAACGATTAGAAGCTTCATAGAAGAGGTAGTCATTCTTAGAGAAAAGTTTGGCTGTTTGGGATTTAAAAAAATAAAATAAAAAACAGTTTGGGCTTTTTGGAAGTTTCATGTGCATCACACGTTACTTACATAATTCTTTATTTCTGTTTAATTAAAAGAATATTGATTATAATTACTCTTTTACCCACATCTATGTTAAGCTTCAAACAGTCCAGACTGTTCTTTTTTCAAGCAGTTAAACTCTACCTACTTTTTATGCAGGGGAACAAGTCTACTAGTAGATTTCTGGAATCACCTAAAAATCTTCCACGTGGTTATATGTTTGGAGGTTCAAAAGGACCAGATATGCTCTTGCCAGGTTTTATTTATGAGGCAACCTTCAACTAAAAGTCTTAGTCAGTTGTGGCTTAGTACGGAAATAAAACACATTGAGAAAATCTTCAAAAAAAATAGTAGAAGTCGAACTTTCAGGAATAAGAATTCTTTACTGAATAATTAAGATAAATTTCAATATCAAAAACTGTCTTAGCCTTTCCCTAGTTATTTTTTATATAGGCATACACCCTTATGGTTTCTACAAAAAAGGCTTCCTAATTACTGAAAATATTTCATAATAAAATACTATTAAGACTCTTCAAAAAGAAAGTCCTAAATAAACAAAAATTTGAAAATCATGATCTAATACTAATTTAGTAATTATGAACTAAAATAGTGTCTTGCTGACACTAGTTTGATAAATTCAAAACAAAAAGCCCTAATTGAACAAAAATTCTGTAATATTTTGAATCAAAGTTGAACCAAATCAATCAGTTGATAGATTTGGCTTTCAATTTTTTATTTTTATAATATATTGTAAATAAATATATAATATAAATATATAACATAATATATTATATTATATTATATATATATATATAGATATAGATATTATATTCGGTTAACCAAAACCTAACTGGTCCCTTATTTTTTGCAATATTCCAAATCAAATCAATTGATGAATCGGATTTTTTGGTTTGATTTGCTCAATTCAGTTAGACTTTTCAGTTTTTGATGAACATCCCTAATCTCAATACTTAGCATTTCAATGACCCCAAAATTTGATACATCTCAATCAATACTTTGAATCATGGTGCCTAATTTTATCATTGGGGAATTATAAAAAATACCCCCATCAGAAATATGTGTTTGTGCATTATAAGGATGAACAGTGCTATATTACTTTGGTAAAATGGTTCTAGAAGATCCAATTCTCTAAACAAACTATTTCAGTTGTATGGAGTAATGATGTGATTCATCCTGACCTTCCATTGGATTGATGACCCTTTGGATTCTGCCCCCTACAATCTACATCACAATGTCCGCATTGTATTGAAATTGTTCCCGGAGTCATAGGAGCTTTGCAAAGGTAACAAAATTTAGAAATACAGTAATGCACGGAAGAAGGGATAATTTATTTTGCCACATGCCAAGATTATCTCGAAGAGAAAGCACCGAGAGTGACATTTGGTGAGTTTTGCAGGCCTAAACCACTTGGGCCACAAAGACTACGGCCCAGCAGACAAACCCGCGGGAACTGGGAATGTCGTGGTTTGGGAACACACGATCTATATAGCTTGAAGGGGGGTAGTGCCATTCAGGGGCGGAGTAATATTGGTGGGGATCGTTTTCCACCCCCACCCACCCAAACAAAGAAGGGTAAATTAGAAAGACCCCCCTACTATGGGGTCTGTGATAAAGACCCCCTATACTATGACCGTGAAATAAAGATCTCTTTCTGTTAGTCTTTCATCTAAAACGGCCGTTACAATATTTTTTAATTTCCATACTACCCTTATAAATACTGTTCATCTTCCCCGACCTTCCTTCACATTTCTCTCTCTCTCTCCCCCCCCCCCCCCCCGAGCCTAATATTTAGAGCTCTCAATTAGATAGGTATCGGTTGGGATTAAACCTTCACATTTCTCTCTCTCTCTCTCTCTGTTTCTCTCTCCCCCGATCTCTCTTTTCA